TACGCACCACGCCGGGACACTCATTCTCAAGGACTCCCCTTGTCTCAGTCCCATTTTGACAACCGCCGTGCCAATAATGACGACAGTGTGCCTGATTACCAACCAGGTTAGGGACGTCGACCACGCTCTCCGTCTCCGGCATATTCGCCTTCGTCGCGCCACCGAACTACAGCCGACTTCAGTGGAAGGAGGTCACCAAGTCCACGCCGGGGAAACTGAAGGCGGCGACCTCCGGGAGTGAGGTTGCAGGCCGTCAAGGCGATGAAAAAAAGCCCCCGTTACTTGTACCACAGGACGCCGTAAAGCCGAGAAGTTGTAACACCGACGAAACTAACTGTGACCACAGATCTTACCGTTTCGGTAGACGGACAGCAAATAACAGCCTTAGTTGACACCGGCGCCAACTTTTCTATCATAGGTGAAAACCTTGCCGTACGCCTCAAAAAAGTGAAGACTACGTGGACGGGACCTCACCTGAGGACAGCAGGTGGCCAGCTGTTGATGCCTGTCGGAAGGTGTACAGCAAGACTCGACGTCGGTGGCTCTTCTTTCGTGGCGACGTTCGTCATCCTCACCTGGTGTTGCAAGGACTGGATCATAGAGATGGACTTCTTAAGAGAATATGGTGCCGTCATCAACATCCCGGACCGTTCAATTACATTCCGCAACAGCCCTGGTTTAGTTGACTGTTCAGACGCAATACGCTACACTTTACGTATAATTGATGATGATGTGGTCGTCCCGCCCCGGTCATGCACTCTTGTTTCAGTAGAGGGCGACAAAGCGTTTGATGGCGAAGGCATTGCTGACCAAATTGGCTCGCTGCTATTTAGTCATGACATTTTGGTCGCACGAGGTATCGTCCGTCTCACTGGTGGACGCACGAATTTACTTCTGACGAACTTTAGTGCTGAGCGCCGGCACCTTCCGAAGGGCACAGCTATCGCTTCGTACGACAATATTGTAGAAATGCGAGGCAGTTTATGTTTGTCGGTATTGGACGAAGAGCCTAATCAAGAACCAGAACCCATTCTTGATGTTGGCACCACTCTGTCAAAGGACGAGCAACAGAGACTTCTTCAGCTGCTAGCCGAATTCCGCGACTGCTTTTCAACGACATCACGAGTTGGTCGAACACCTTTGACAAAGCACCGAATAATCACCGAGGACACGGTGAGACCTATTCACCAGAACCCTTATCGTGTAGCTTCAAAGGAACGCGAAGCCATACAACAACAAGTCGCAAAAATGCTTGCAGATGACGTCATTCAACCGTCACAGAGCCCCTGGGCATCGCCTGTAGTGCTAGTAAAGAAAAAGGACGGCACCCTGCGTTTTTGCGTGGACTACAGGAAGCTGAATCGGGTGACCAAGAAAGATGTGTACCCGCTCCCACGTATTGACGACTCCCTTGACAGACTTCGGCACGCTCGCTACTTTTCTTCCATGGACTTGAGGAGTGGATACTGGCAGATCGAGGTAGACCCAAGAGACCGAGAGAAAACCGCTTTTGTGACCCCAGATGGTTTATACGAATTTAAAGTCATGCCTTTCGGTTTGTGCTCCGCGCCCGCAACTTTTCAAAGGCTTATGGACACGGTACTTTCGGGATTGAAGTGAAAGACGTGCCTAGTCTATCTGGACGACGTTATAGTGTTTTCGACCACTTTTGACGAGCATCTCAAAAGGCTGGAAGTTGTTTTAACGTGCCATACGGTTCGCGGGCCTAACATTGAAACCAGAAAAGTGCCATTTCTGTTTTCACGAACTTCAGTTTCTCGGTCACGTCGTCAGCAACGCAGGCATCCGGCCCGATCCTGGAAAAATTGCCGCCGTCGCACAGTTCCCAGTACCCTCCAATAAGAAGGCTGTCAGACGCTTCCTAGGCCTTTGTGCCTATTATCGCCGGTTTATCGCAGACTTCGCCCACATCGCGTCGCCACTAACTCGTCTCACAAGAGATGATGTTGCCTTTGAGTGGAAAGAAGAACAGGAAGCTGCCTTTAATGACCTGCGTCAACGTCTCCAAACGCCCCCTGTGCTCGCCCACTTTGACGAAGAAGCCCCGACGATGCTTCACACAGACGCTAGCAATGTAGGTCTTGGGGCTAAGCTTGTGCAACAGCAAGAGGACACAGAAAGAGTGATCGCCTACGCAAGCCGAACGCTAACACGCGCAGAGGCTAACTATTCAACAACAGAGAAAGAATGCCTCGCCGTAGTATGGGCAGTAATGAAATTTCGCTCGTACTTGTATGGCCGACACTTCAAAGTTATTAGTGACCATCACTCCCTTTGCTGGTTAACTAATTTAAAAGATCCCACCGGCCGATTAGCGCGTTGGAGCCTAAAACTGCGAGAGTTTGACATGACGGTCGTGCACAAGTCAGGCAAGCGACATACGGACGCTGACTGTCTGTCCCGTTCACCCATTGAGTCGGCAACCCTACCCGAGGAGGAGGAAACGGCATTTCTCGGTGTCCTTGACACGACCGCCATTGCGCAGCAACAACGTGACGACACTGAGTTGCTTGGCTTAATTAACTACTTGGAAAGCAGATCTCAGAAGGCGCCAAGAGTTTTCGCAAGAGTATTGTCATCGTTTTGTTTACGGGGCGAAGTACTTTACAAAAGAAACTTTTCGTCAACAGGATCCGCTTATCTGCTCGTCATACCAGCAGCCCTTCGTACCGAAATACTCAAAGCATGCCACAACGAGGTGACCTCTGGCCATTTGGGTTACATGAGAACGTTGGCCAGAGTACAGCAAAGGTATTACTGGCCGAGACTAACCACAGCCGTGAAGCACCACGTTCGTACCTGTCTGGACTGCCAGCGACGCAAGTCACCACTGACTAAACCAGCTGGCCTACTGCAACCCGTGCAGGTCCCAACAGCTCTATTCTACCAGATAGGCATGGACATTTTGGGCCCACTTCCTATTTCCACTGCAGGAAACCGCTGGGTTATCGTCGCGAAAAATCATCTGACCCGTTATGCCAAGACAAAAGCTATTCAGAGAGGTACAGCAGCGGAGGTGGCAAGATTTTTCATCGAAAATATTGTACTGAGGCATGGTGCACCAACCGTCGTGATCACAGACAGAGGAACCGCATTTACGGCAGCTCTTTTGGATCACGTCCTGATGCTGAGTGGAACAACGCGTCGTAAGACCACTGCCTACCACCCACAAACAAACGGGCTGACGGAGCGTCTGAACAAACCACTGAAGACATGCTTTCGATGTACGTAGATATTGAACACAAAAATTGGGATGAAATCTTGCCATACATAACGTTTGCGTACAACACGGCCAAGCAAGAAACGACCCGCATGACCCCGTTCAGCCTCGTTCATGGACGAGAAGTACGAACTATGTTAGATGCGATGCTGCTGCACGTGACGACATCGACCCAGACGCCAACACGTTTACGGAACGCGCGGAAGAAGCTAGACAACTGGCACGTTTACGGATCCGCCAGCAGCAAGAGTACGATGCAGGCCGCTACAATGCTCACCGCAGAGCAGTTGTCTATCAAACTGGCGACAAAGTATGGATTTGGACACCCGTACGGAAACGAGGACTATCAGAAAAGCTCTTAAGAAGATACTTTGGGCCATACCGAGTGCTGAGACAACTGAGTGACGTCACTTACGAAGTTGTTCCCGACAATTCGTGTAGTACCAAGCGTCGCCAGCACCATCCTGAACTCGTTCACGTAGTGCGCATAGAGCCTTACGTCAGCGAGTGATTGCGTGAGACTTATCTTTTAACAAAAACTGCATTATTGACTTCGCATCGGGTCGATGCTCTTTGAGAGGGAGGCAAATGACCCGTGTCTACATGTGGACAAAAACGATGATGGGGGGATTTAGCGGACACCAGGTAGTGGGCCTCTGGCTTGACGCGAGAACGAAGAAGATCTTGTGGCTCAGCTGTTGAGAACACGCTGCTTTCGCTGCCTCAAGGCGTACTTGTGCTTTGTTCGCGTTGTACTGCGACAATATAGAGGTATGAATGATACCAAGCTTTCACATTTTCTTGATGTGGTGAGTTTAAGTGGAAGCAACATATTTATTCTTGCTTCTGCCAAAAATTTGTCTCACAAAATCCCGAGGCACAGCTGCAGCAGTACAATTCGGGTGAGCAACAAGATGTCTTCCTTTTGCAATATAATTTACGCATTGTGCATATTGTCACAGGGTCATGAAGTGGACAAAGCGAGCAGACTGCAAGTAAAATAAACGGTTCATTTGGACTGGACTTCTGGCCACGTAAAAGGAAAGTCAGATTGCAGCATGACAGTGGCACTGAAAGTGGCGAGCAGAGCATTGGCCATCGATAAACTGACAAGCGACAAAACGTGTCGGCATTTATACGCTTGCCATTGAACATTCTAGCATTATCGCTAGTGGCAGTGTAGGTTCCAGAATAACCTGAAGTGCTCGTGAAATGGGCGTAATCTTCACAAAATGATCTGCTGCATTCTTGAAGCTTTTTTGAACACTGTACCCTAGCAAAAATTCCGATAGAAAAATTGATAGGCTATCAGGTTATTGACAGCTGTACCAGTCTTAGGTGTACCAGTTCATAGGTGCACCAGTCTATAGGTGCACCAGTATATATGTGCCCCAACCTATTCAGTAGAAGCTCATAAGTGCATTGGTGCTTAGCCAACTGGTGGGTTCACCACTGCATTAGAGCGAGCAGGACGGACAATAAAAATGAACACAAAAATCACACAAAATCTTTTATTTTATGCTTGATAAATAAACTTTTGGATTTCATGAGGTCGTTAATTTTATTGGCGAGCACCTTGTTCAGGATCTTCATCTTTCCGTCCACCTCTCCAATTGGCACCTAGTTCATCAAGTAATGACTGAAGAAATCTGCATGATCAAAAACGAAGCATATTATGGACACTTGTTTAGTCACAATTATGTCAAAACAAAAGAGTAAATAAGACAAATAAATAAATACGAGTGATATCGCTGTCTTTATATTTTAATTTTATTGATTTTTGCATAAAAGCACCCAACTCCAATAGGCAAAAATACGAGGCTTGAAGCCTTAGTAGTTACAACACGTGGAGCCTCGAAATAATTTACTGACATGCACAAGCATGCAGCCAATCACTTTCATAAATTTTGGGCAAACTGGAAAACTTTACCTACCAGAAAGCACAGTGTACTTTTCCTTGTCCAAGGTAGGTTTCACCTCTCCTTTAGTAAGATTGGAGGCTGCACCAGTGACGGAGGAGCCGACTAGGCCTGCCGTTGAAAAAATGGCCACAGCCGCCTCACGCAAAAACCGAGTTTTACTTTTCGTGCTCATGAGACGGCTATAAACGCCCTCGAATATGGCGATTCCTCTGCCCATTTGCACCTATAAAACAAATTGAAGATAATGTATACACTAACAATATGTCAGGACACATTCCCTCATTACTGCAGACACCCTTATGACAAAGCTTACACACAGAGTTTTACAATACCTCTCCGTCAGTGGGCACATAATTGATAATTTGCCCTGGCAGCTGTTCATTGTTCTCCCTCACACTTGCCAAGACCACTCGTTGGTGATCAAAAACTTCACTGCTGCCCCTGGTCATAGTGGCGGTGCGTGGCGGCTGCACGGTGGAAGTATGTGGAGGCCGCACGGCTGCAGTTTCTGGTGGCCGGACGGCGGCGGTACATGGTGGTTGCACGGTAGCAGTGCACGGTAGTGGCAAAGGTGCAGCTTTTTTTAATGATGTCGGTGTGTGGCTGCAGCACTCGCAAAGCACAAGCTTTTTTTCTGTAATAAAAAAGCAGAGCATGCAGAAAAGGCAACCGTATCGCACCCTCATTACAATTGCATCCTAGGTCTGACTGAATAGACAAGGGTGTGCAAGCTAGCAAGGCCAAATAACATGACAAATATTGCATGCAGAAGAGATACCATGTGAAAGTAGAATAATAGGCCGGGTGTTACGTTTCTAAGTCATGATATGATTATCAGGGACACCGTAGTTGAGGACTTCAGAAAGTTTGACCATGTGTTCTTTAACGTACACCACCGTACACCATGCTGTGACAGTATGAAAAAGCATACTTGCAAGTGGTTAGAATGATGTGTGCATCACTGACAAGTTTGAGATTTAAGCTTAGGTTGCATTCTGCTTTACAGCAAAATTGCATGATCGATATAAGAAAACTGCAACCTAGTGATGTATACAACAGTAGCAACAGCGCATGACGATAATTTATAAGGAAATAACCAAACCTGTTTCAAAAATTTTGTTGCAAAGAGCCTTTTCAAGTATCCTAATGCGCTCCAATAGCTTGGCATTTTCAGCCCTGAGCAAACTAACATCTTCTTTGAGATGTTCTGCCTCCGTCTTTTCTTTGCCAACATCACCAAACAGTAGGTCCTGATTCCTTTTTTTGAAGTGTTTGTCAACAACCTTCTTTTTCTGTTGAACAGTAGCTTGATGTCGTGCTTTCTGCAAATGCATAGCCAACCCAAGATACAGTAAAACCTGGTCAATTGGAAGTCACTGGCACCGTAAGAAATCTTTGAATTAAGTGGGTTTTGGATTAACAGAACATACAATCAATGGGATGCAAGGAAATCGCTATTCTTCAAAGCAATCAGGAATGATCCTTTACTGCGCTGGCTAGCTTGCACTTCCAAAGGTTATGTTTTCCTGCAATGCCTAGTTTTAATTTTGCCGCAAACACGAACGAATGGTGGGCTTCGCCGCTGCCACCAGAAAGAAAAAAAAATGCAGGCGTGGTAAAAAAAAATGCGTGCTTGCAGAAAACAATGTGTGACATCATTTAACCATATGGTGTAGTAGCGCAAAATTCACGGGGACAAAGAGGACAAGAAAACACGACACTCGCTACACTCGCAACTAATTTTTATTTCAGAAGCAGCACTTCATATATAACCCATAACCCTAGCGACACAGAAAAGAACTACGAACACTGAATAATTGCCAACAGAAGCTTTTGCGCAGACTCAAGCGATAGTACACGGCAGTTACGCTTAGACACTTTAAGATGACATAACTAAAACAGCCCTGGGTCACATCAAATCAAAAAAACCAAAAAATTTTGCGGGAATTCTCATGTGTTTGAAACAAAATTTTGAAACGACAAAAAGGAGACTACCGTACACCATGCTGCGACAGTATGAAAAAGCATACTCGCAAGTGATTAGAATAATGTGTGCATCACTACCAAGTTTGAGATATAAGCTTACCGTATTTACTCGATTCTACCGCGCCCTCGATTGTAACGCACACCCGATTTCCACCGCGAAAAAAAAAAGTAAGACATCGATTGCAACGCGCACCCATTTTTCTCGCTGGCCCGCACGATCACACCACTCGAAAAAACTACTTTCGTGAGCGTCTTCCATTTATATATGAGGTACGGGCGAAGCTTGTGCTCATCTGACGTGTAACTGAGCATTGCCGTCACTGTAGTTTTACCGTGGACCGATGTCAGCACATGAACTTGCTTCGCCCCCTTCTTCTCGACGGTTGTGGTGCCAGGCATGTCGAAGTAAAGAGGTGTCTGATCGGCATTCCCGATATGCCCAAGCAGGTAGCCGTTGTTGCGCCGCAAGTTTAGGACGAACCTCTGAAAACTGTGAAGTTTTTTATCGTATTCCTCCGCAAAACTTTTCGCATTGCATGTTCCCCTTCGGAGGGAAAAGCCTTTCCTCTTCATAAAGTTAGTTAGCCAGCACCTGCTCACTTTAAACTGGCTCCGCATTAGACCTTTTTCTAAGACTAATTGCATAGCCCGTACTTGGAGCAGTTCTGTCGTCACGGGCCGCTGTGCCGCTTGCTGTTCAAGCACATACTCGCCGAGCAGCTTTTTAATTTGCGGAAACCGACCCTGCTGTGGTCCACTGAAGCCTTTGCGTGAAGCTTTGCTATCGACAATCTTTTGCTTTTGTTTCCGCCGGACTCGCATGCACGTTTCGGGAACTCCGAACGACCGCGATGGGGCCCGATTTCCGTCCGTTTCTGCACACGCGATGACTTTTCTTTTAAAAGCGGCATCGTGGTACACTCAAGTTTTTGGAGTCGGTCCTTCCACGCCGTCGATGCTAATGCACTACTACATGACGAACTCCTCAGCACACGTACGAAGTGCCGCACATGGGAAACACATAGGCAGAAATGACCGACGCGCCATGCCGACGCACGTAGGGGGCGGCCATTTTGGATTTGCTGATGGCAATAGATTGACCGTAATTTTTTTTGTTCGTACTCGATTCTAACGCGCATGCGATTTATGAACTTGCTTAACCGGAAAAAAGGTGCGCGTTAGATTCGAGTAATTACGGTAGATTCCATTCTGCTTTACAGCAAAATTGCATGATCAATATAAGAAAAGTGCAACCTAGTGATGTATACAACAGTAGCAACAGTGCATGAAAATAATTTATAAGGAAATAACCAAACCTGTTTCGAAAATTTTGTTGCAAAGAGCCTTTTCAAGTATCCAAATGCACTCCAAGAGCTTGGCATTTTCAGCCCTGAGCAAACTAACATCTTCTTTGAGATGTTCTGCCTCAGTCTTCTCTTTGCCAACATCACCAAACAGGAGGTCCTGATTCCTTTTTTTGAAGTGTTTGTCAACAACCTTCTTTTTCTCTTGAACAGTAGCTTGATGTCGTGTTTTCTGCAAATGCATAGCCAAACCATGATACAGTAAAACCTCGTTAATTCGAAGTCACTGCCACCGTGAGAAATCTTCGAATTAAGTGGGTTTTGGATTAACAGAACATACAATCAATGGAATTAAGGAACCTGCTATTCTTCAAAGCAATCATTGATGATCCTTTACTGTGCTGGCTAGCTTGCGCTTTCAAAGGTTATGTTTTTCTGCAATGCCTAGTCTTAATTTTGCCGCAAACACAAAGGAATCGAGGGCTTCGCCGCTGCCACCAGAAAAAAAAAAAAAAATACAGGCGTGGTCAACAAAAATGCATGCTAGCAGAAAACAATACGTGCTTGTTACAATGTTGGCTCAAGTGCAGCGCCCCCACGCGGCGCTGATAGTTGTGTTGAGCTGAGAAGCCTGGCACAGCGGGAGGTGGTTGTTTTGGAAACAATGAAGTCAGTTCGCTCTAGGCAAAGGGCTCAACATGTTCTCATGTTCCTCGCGGGCCTGATGGTCTGCTGTTCACGGTAGTCAGTACTGACTGGCCATCCGATAATCTACACATGTAACAACTGGCAACGAGGATGAAAGAAAGTTTCATGTAAGTATTCGTTCCCGCACCGCTCTGCCATCTGTTCACCATGCCAAGTTTCGGCAACCTCGAGCCGTTTGAGGGAGGAGGAGACGACTGGCCCTGTTACGTGGACCGGCTCCAAGCATTTTTCCTGGCGAATGATGTTGCCCCAGACAGGCGTACTGCCGTGTTCATCAGCTGCTGCGGGCAGAAAACGTTGCTTTGCTCCGCAGTTCGGTCAAGCCCACCAAGCCCAGTGACAAGACGCTGGACGAGATTCTTCAAGTTCTTGGAAGCCAATATTGTCCGAAGCCCTCTGCCGTCGTGCAGCATTTTCGTTTCAACTCGCAGTTCGCGCGGAAGGAGAATCCATCAGCAATTTTATCGCAGCACTAAAAAGCCTGTCCGAGCATTGCAACTTTGGGGCTGAACTCGAAAACATGCTTTGCAAGTGCGTCGTGTGTGGCATAAACAACGTGGATGTTCAGACACGACTTCTGGGAAAACCGGACCTCACCTTCGATGACGCCGTGCTGACCGTCCTGGCAATGAAAGCAGCAAAAAGGGACGCAGGTGAGATGGCGCAAGTGAACACAAGCAGCGCTTTCTTGACTCACCATGTCTCGTCAGGTTCTGGGGGCGTAACCTGCTACCGCTGCAGGGACGGACATCTTGCATCAAAATGCAAGCATATGAAGACAATCTGCAATTACTGCCACAAACGAGGTCATAAGGTGAAGGTGTGCAATTAAAGACGAAAGGACAGCCAAGCCCAAAGCAACAGCCATACTAAGGCTCGTTTGTTCTCAGCCTGCAGTTCGTCGTCGAGTAACCGTCATCGCGTTAATACTGTGCGCAAGCAGGACGCCGCTATCACTTCATCGTACGAAGTTTTTGACATGTGGCCAGTCGACTACGCCACGCCGCCTTTGCCTTTCACCGTCACTGTTGACGTTTGCAGCAAGCCGTTCCGCATGGCAGTGGACACAGGGGCAAGTGTCTGTCATGGCCAAGTCGCGTCTTCTTCACTTTTTGCCTATGGTTCCTGCGCAGCCGTGACAAGTGCTTCTGCAAAGCTATTCCGGGGAACTAAAAAAGGTTCAGGGCGAAGCTGACGTCAGGGTGAAGTTTCATGACAGAGAGGCCGACCTACCTATTTTTCTGACCGGAGACGGATCGCCCAATCTTCTTGGACGCAACTGGATGCATGAGCTGGGCATCGGCGTTTACGACGTTGAAATGAACATCCACACACTTTCAGACGTGAAACACCTAGTCCAAGACTATGCCGAAGTGTTTGAAAAAGGCCTGGGTACATTCAAAGGGTGCTAAAGCTTCTCTACATGTTCCTTCGGATGCTCTGCCTCGGTTCTTCAAGCCACGTCCACTGCCGTACGCCTTGACAGATGGAGTAACTCAAGAAATCCATAGACTAAGAAGAGATTCCATTCTTGTTCCAGTCAAGACAGCAAAGTGGGCTGCACCTATTGTTCCTGTGCCCAAAAGGGATGGACGCATAAGAATCTGTGGAGACCTTGGTGTCACCATAAACCCGGTGGCAATAGTGGAGCAGTACCCCATTGCAAGGATCGAGGACCTGTGGACTGTGCTTGCTGGAGGTGAGAAATTCACCAAATTGAATTTGCGAGATGCGTACCAGCAAGTTGTCCTTGACGAGGCCTCTAGGGAGTACATCACCATTTCAACGCATATGGGGTTATTTCAGTACACCCGGTTGCCTTTTGGCATCTTATCTGCTCCTGCCATATTTCAGCGCGAGATAGAGAACTTGTTCAGGGGAC